CTAATTCTCTGAGATGGTGAAGTGCTAAAACTTGTTTTTCTGTACACTACTTTGTACAATTTATACTACAGGGATGGATTTGCGACCATCCGGAGATAAATAACAAATAACTGCCGCTACCCACAGGATTGCTCAGCACTTGCCGCCGCTATACCATGCACCATATGACTCCCTTGCACTCCTACTTGCTCGTCCCAACCCCTAGAGGTCGCCTTGATGCTCTGCCACCTGATCCAAGCAGTCCCATCACTCCGCGCGATGCACCGGTCACGTGCTAATTACCTCCGGCTGCTCGCTGACTGATGCTAACCTCATGGTGACTCGTATACGTCCGCACCTTCGGTATTTTGGTGGAAACGAGAGAGGGATTGTGCTGGAGGGTGGGCATGAGGACGACGCCCCTCGATAGAAGTGTTCGTGGGCCCCGGAGCTAATTCAGCTAGAAGTCGCATTGGTTAAGTCACTCCGGAGCTCCTGTTCGCGGAGATAAATCGTGGAATGGGTCCGTGTACGCCTCAAGGATGTTAGGAAGTCCAGAGCTAAAACAGAGCAAGTCTTAGAGCCCATAGAAGCCTAGAGGCGTGTGAGCGCTGTGTTGAATAAGCTCCGGAGGGCTTGTACGATGCGCTGAGTCCGCGTTTTCGGGGGTCAGACGATCCTGAGGCTTATCACCATTACACCTGGACAGCCCAGACCTTAAGCCCAATAAGGCTAACCCAACCAACCTCCAGTCAAGCCTAACAAGGCTCAGTACCGCCTGCTGATTGACACCAGCGGTGGTACTGGGGGTTGCTGCTGACTTCATATAACTAGTCCTGTACCGTGTATGACGTCGTATGCTCAGGCCATAGAGCACCGTCAAGGGCACTGTCGGGATCTCCCGGGCATACTGTCGGGGCCCAAATCAGGAAAGCAGGTGGGTGGCGCCTTCGATGCACGTGTCGAAGCCTGTCAACAGCGCGCCTGCACTGCCACCCGCCCCGTCCCTCAAGGGACGCTCTTGGCAAGCTCATCTCAGATGCTGCTGCACATCGCCAGTCCTACCTCCCACCCTTGGTTCTGGATATCATGAAACAATATGCTGGTATTTCGAAGTCATCGACATCATGCACCTTCTCCGGCGGCTTCTTGCGCACCGAACGTCTCAGCGCGACTAAGCAGCATACAAGGAAGCTGAAGAATGCAGAGCGAAGGGCAGAGGAAATCAAAGATGCGGGTGTGCAATGTACTATATGCAGCCTGTTGATATATCATGTATAGCAATGTCATCCGAGGACCGGGCACTCGTTGAAGAGATGGATGCCAGTGCGCCACCCATGGATCATCAGCATATCTACGAAGCGGCCTATACTTCTATGCCGCCAGGAGAAGAAGGATTTGACCTCAGCCATGAGGGGGGAGAACATGAGGTCTTCGAGGAGTTTGTGCACAAGCTGGCGGGGGTGTAAGTACATCACATGTCTAAATTCACTATTGCTGATCATATGACAGGAGACACATTGATCATCGCAATCGGCGCAATCAGGTACAACTGAGGAACAAACAATGGGCAGAGCAATATGAGGACCTGGTCAATGCGTATCTGCAGTACAGTGAGCAAGAGCAGGAAGGCTTGGTTGCAGAGGGGATGATAGTAGAAGAGACAGAACGGGAATTTCAGGTCGAAGTAGTCGATATTTTTGGTGCATATATGTATTGTTCTCTCGCACTGCTAGGCCTTACTTCTATAGGCCGCAAAACATGCACATTCGCACCCCTCATGATCGATATCTACGCCAATGCAACCCTCATCCGAGAGGGATATATCGGCACATCCCTGGTTCATCCTACAACTGCCATATCGATCCGCTGATAAGCCTCAGGATCGTCTGATCCCCAAAAACGCGGACTCAGTACATCATACAAGCCCCCCCGGAGCTTATTCGACACAGCGCTCGCATGCCTCTAGGCTGCTATGGGCTCTAAAAGAATTTTTCTATTTAGCTCCGGACTTACGGACCCATGCCGCGATTTATCTCCGCGAACAGGAGCTCCGGAGTGACTTAACCAATGCGACTTCTAGCTGAATTAGCTCCGGGGCCCACGAACACTTCTATCGAGGGGCGTCGTCCTCATGCCCACCCTCCAGCACAATCCCTCTCTCGTTTCCACCAAAATACCGAAGGTGCGGACGTATACGAGTCACCATGAGGTTAGCATCAGTCAGCGAGCAGCCGGAGGTAATTAGCACGTGACCGGTGCATCGCGCGGAGTGATGGGACTGCTTGGATCAGGTGGCAGAGCATCAAGGCGACCTCTAGGGGTTGGGACGAGCAAGTAGGAGTGCAAGGGAGTCATATGGTGCATGGTATAGCGGCGGCAAGTGCTGAGCAATCCTGTGGGTAGCGGCAGTTATTTGTTATTTATCTCCGGATGGTCGCAAATCCA